TGTGGGTGTGTGGGGGTGTGTGTGTAGGGGTGTCTTTAAATCAATTAAGGTAAATGGGTTTTAAGGTGTGAGAAAGGTCTTAAGGTTATGTAGGAGGGCCTCATGTGAGCAAACTAAACTAAATTAGTAAAGCTTGCTAGTAGGAAAATTCTTTCCAGCTGAGGACTTTAGTTAATGAGGGATGGCTCCACCTAGGAAATCTAGTTTAAAAGTGGGCAGTTGTCAGTCTTAAGTCTTAGGCCCTTCAGTGGGGTTATAGACTTATATTTTGAATGTGACTCTACAAGTAAGATTGAGCAACAGCATTTAAGCAAAATGTGTATTTGTAGAAGATTATGCTTTCAATCTAAAGGAGAGGCATCTTATTGAACTACTGTGACTAAAAGGTAAGTAACATAAAGGGAGATAGGTAGTCCTTTTTGGTAAAGACATGCTGTGCTAGGCTGAGCTGACCTCACTACTCAGGCTGGCATGAAACCAAGGTATTCCTGGTTTAGCAACTTAAATACTCTATTTCTCAACTTTAGCAATTTGCTTTTTAAGCTCCTTTTTGTTTTCTTTATTAAAACATTAATTGTATGGAACAACTTATTTTGAATGAAATAAGTCTTCACCAGAATATTTTTAAAAATATAAGCTCAGCCAACATTGAGCTTTCTAAAGGTGCAATGGTAAACAACTGCTCTCGAGATTGTCCAGTTCTCCTGCTCTTGAGTCTTCTATGCTTAGGGCATGCTTAGAAGAAAGAAGGTAAATAGCCAGTGGAGGTTATGATTCAACAATATAGGAGCTCAACTAAGAGTAGTATCAGAATAAGTGCAATACGAGCTCACCATGTCAGCTTAAATTTGTTAGAAGAATAGGATGTTTGCAGGCTGTAGGTCAGATCAGGTCCTGTGTGTCACACTATTCTGACTTCAAATTAAGTCAGATATAGCATAGCCATTAGAAAAACAAAAGCAAAATAAAAGCAAAAGCCTTGTAGAAGTTGTGTATCACGTGCTTTGTCTAATTTAAGAGAAACGTGCTTGTGTGTCCATGTCTCTCATCCAGATCAAATGTATAGTGCTAGGTGACATGGCATTTTCCAGATTTGGTACTAATGATAATTGAAATATAACTTGAGGAAAAGTGCTTTGTTATGCTTATTTGATATTTTTTCCAAATTGGAACTCTTTGCTGTAGGTTTTCTTGGAATCTGAGGATGGCAGTATTCTAACCAGCTCTGAGGACAGATACTTACAGTAGGAAGTTCACATCGGATGAATAGATTTTGGTGAGGTCTGGAAATGCTTTGAGTCCAGTATTAAAAATTCCACTGAAAGAGAGAAGAAACAGGAAGAATTATGTGTACTGGACCACTGAACAACAAACAAGGTATTCAAAGCATTCAACAGTGCAGGAAGTTTATTTCATCCTCTATAAGGTCAATCAATTTATTTATAATCAACTGTCCAAAATATAAGGATGCAATAAGAATTAAATAAAAATACCAGATTTGTGATAAATTATAGAATCTAAAAAATGGGAATGCACAATAACAAGATATGTAAACAGTTCTGCGAGAGGGAAGAAGCCTGTGTAGTGAATAGGGAGGAGGGGAAAAAAAAAAACCAGTATCTCTGGATTCGCTTAAGGGACTAAGGCTCCTTCAGACCATAGTCTGGACCCCCAAGTCCTCCATCTTTATTTGAGGTGAACTAGTGTTCAAATAGCTGCAAAACAGGAAACTGTTGTCAAATGTGAATATGGGTAATGTCCCTTATTTCTCTACTCCTCTAGGGCAGAAATAACTTTAAAAAATATATAGTTCTCAATCTTTAAAGCTCTTCTCCCAAAATGAAATTGTTTTGCAAAAAATCTCTCTTCCTCACTGCTACCCCTACTGCACATACAGCCCTTTCTAGAGTCTTTCAAACATTACTCGGAATCACAGAAGCATTCTCTTTCTTGTCTCTCTTTCCTACACTATAATCTTAGAATTTCATGGTTTGGTTATTCTGTGCTGCTCTTTAGAAACTTCATGGGAATACAAAGAGTTCTTCAGGATCTCTTTCTGCCAAAGAGATCATATGAAATCTGGTGTCTATAGATGGGCTTGTCACATTTAGCTTGAAAACCCTGTGGAAATATCTAGTAAATAAAAGATGTGTATATTTCTACTATGCCCCTTCTTTCCACTATTCCCTACAAAAAATAGAGCACTTATGATAAGAAGAAAGCTAGCTGTGGAATTTCACCAGGGAAACATTAGTGTACTTCAGACATTTAATGGATATGAAGAATGGCAAAATAACTGATGAATTTGTGAATGCGTTTTCCTTTCTCACAAAAGTAGTCGAAGTCCAACCCCTACCATAGCTGGCTTTCTGTCATTAAAATAAAGCAACATGAGAAAAACATTGCAATCAGTTCCAAAATGAAATGCAAAGAAACAAAACTGCTATAATGTAAAGGAGTCATCTGTGGGGCTTAAGTGCCAATTTGTTAAAGGTACTAAATACTTACAGGTATTTCAAAAGTGGGAGGTTCTTAAAGGCATCTGGATCTATGTAATCCAAGTTTCTAAGATTTCGAATTTCACTGTAAAAAATGAAGGAATGTTACCATGTAATTAATGTTTATTTATTATAACAAGAATCAGCAATTTTAAAATGAAATTTCAGATACCTAATTCCTACAATGAGTTTTTGTCAAGACCGTTCTGAGCAATCTTACAATGATGAGTTATCATTTGGATCGACGCAGTGCTGGAGACTGGCTTGTTTAAGCAAGGTGGGAAGGAGCACCTGAGCTTTGATTATGAATCCTTTGTCTTCATGGTCCTAAAATCAAAGCAATATCCTGTGGCAACAGCTGTTACTTTGAACACAGTGAGTTTTGTGTCTGTGAAGGTGTGTAGAAAGAAGAAAACTTAAGCGAAATTTTCAGTATTGATATATAACAGTCCTGTCAACTTACAACCATCTATTTAGCTTATAATTTTATGTCCTTGTTTTCTGGTTATTTTCTTCAAGTCTCTAACAGTACTTTGTATTATTTTTCATGTCTCTTCTACAGAACTCATCAGTGGATCCAAAAGATGGCTCAAGTCACTTAAATTAAATCCATTCTGAGACCTGACATGGACACATGTCCAGCAGTATAGAAGGCAGTGTACCTCTTGGCTTTATACTGATGCAAAATTTAACATAGACTTAGTTTCTTATGTCATCTGTCCATGATTTTATCTTTAAATACTTCTACCCAAGTGACAGCTTGGTTTGCAGATGGCTTTTTAGACTGCATGTATTGAAGAACCAGTCTGACACTGATCATGGCTATGGCCATGCTGGTTGCTTTCTGTGGATGTGGCTGCTGCCTTTCCAGCCATCATGATCATTGCCTGGCATTATGACTTATCCTTGTTTTTCTGATATTTGCCTTTACCCTTAATGCAATTTTCCTTGATCTTTCTCACTCCTCTTTGTTTTCAGCAGATTTCATTCTTTTCTATCCATAACAATGGTCAGCAGTCTCGCTGCACCAATCAGATTGTGCCAAAATTCCCTGCCTAGACTAAGGAGACCTACCAGATGTTCATCTCTTATGAAAAAAAACCCCACTCATACCTGCCCCTGTCACATGCACGCTTTTTCTTTCCTGGCCACTTTACTGTTTGCAGGAGGGGATAGCCCTTTTTTGCATGTTTGCTTCTGTTTGACACTGGTTTTATAAACCTGCTGGAACAACTCTCAGCCTTTCTTTAATATAGAAACAATACAGAAAGAAAGGTGCCAGTCTTCCCCCTAAGACTAGCTGTGGAGCAGTGGGCTGAGGCAAATGCTTACTAATACAGACAAATTTAATGAAGACAACAGGTACAGATGGCATGCTGGTGCAGGCTGTGTGGGTCTTAAGCCATGCCAAGAAGTGATGCTACTAGACAGGCACTTGGCGGAAACCAGCAGTATTTAATTTACCATGCCCTAACAATGCCAAGTAACGTACACAATATAGGCATCAAGAAGCTGGGTTTGAAGGATACCTCTGCTACTGGAATCCTTTTTACAAGTCAAAATCAATCCAGCCAAGTTGTCTGAGAAATAAAAGTGGGAAAAGAGACATAAGACAGTGTACGAATCAGTATGTAGATACAGGTACAAAGTATTCAGACTCTCCATATGCTGTTGTACTGACAACACAGTTCTGCCTCACCTTTCAAGTCTTCAGTTTTTACTCTGTCTCCCTGCAACATTGGAATAAAAAAAGATATACCTTTTACTTGTATGTTAAACTGATGTAATTAACAGCTATAGTACTGCTATTACAGTGCTGTATTCAAATACTCATGTCTGTTAGCTACCTCGAACAGTACTGTTTCTGTATCTAAAAGAAAGCTTCTCACCGTCAGTCTCTTCTTTCAAATTATTTTATTAGTTACATAGCTATTGCACTACTAAGACTGGAACTTTCTCTACAGGCTTTAACTGATAGTTTTTTCCATCATTGACTAAATTTAAAATGCTGGACTCATGAGCTTCCTGGCCAGATATTCCTTTGTTGTAGACCAAACATACTTCAGGGAAAAACAGTCTTCAGATTAACCTTCAGCCTGGAAATGGGTAATGCATTGGAGTACTGTAGAGTCATCAGGTTTTGGCTTGTTGCTATTCATAGTGTTCTGTGTAAATGATTTGGATGAGGGTACTAGAAGTTAGAATTCAAAATCTGCAGATGGTACTAAAATTAAAAGCACAAAATAATGCAATGAGATGCAATCCAATTTTGATTTATAAGTAACTGGGTCATGAGAGGGCATGTGCTGTTTAACAAAGGCAAATGAAAATCTATTTAATCTGGGAATAAACGATATGAAATTGCCAGATGAGAGACAGTTGGCACAGTAATGAGAGAAAAGCTTAAATAATGAGTGAGGAAATCAATGATTCAACTGAACATTGAGTAAATGTTTATGTGTCTGCTCTTTGATTTCCTTGGATTGGTAATTCTGGGATTAGGAAAGAAGTATGCTTTAATATATACAGTACTTATATTTGCATTTCAGCCCAAAAAGGAAGAAAAGGGCCCTCTGTGGTAGGCACTATAGAAATCAACAGCAGACAGAAGAAGATGAGAGGTATAAAAAGGTAAAAGGTCATTTAACCAAAGTGAATGCAATGCTTAAAGAAAAAAATCAGGAGAAAAATCTGATTTTTTTCCCTACTTCTAGTCCAGTCAAATGTGCCTCTTGCACTTGACTGACTGACTATCTGGCATCTCATTTCATATGCATAAAAAAGAGAAAGATCTTCAAATTCAGAGTTTTTGTTTTTGTTTTTTTGCAAAACATTATTAATCTCAGAGAGTACTGGAAGAAATCTTCCCCAGCCCTCAGAATCACAGATATAAAGGATATCTATAGCTCCATCAAAATTGGAACTTATGAAGTTAAACCTATATGGAGAAAAGATATTTGAATAGTTCTGATCCCATAGGTTAACAGGATAATCGTACACAAATGGGATTTCACAATTTCTTTAATGTTAATTGGTCATAAATAATATATTCAAAGGTGCCTAAATGTTGTATGATAGTAATTTTCAAGCTGTAATCAAAGGATTGCTTTGATGTAAGGATTACTTCTAAAGAATCCAACAAACTAAGAAAAGCAAATTGATTGTTGGTAGATTCAGTAGGCAGGGTTTGCACTTTTATCAGTATAATTCTTTGAAATGGTGAGTTGAAAAGATCAAAAGCCAGGGATTTAGAATGCTAAGGTTCCTTTAAAAAGCAGCTCTAGGAAAACTATGGGTAGTTCCAGCTGCCTAAAATGCATAAAAGGCCGAAGGGTATAGTTAAAGATGTCTAGTAGGCTGGCTCCTGGGTATCCAAGTGTCTGTGAGAGCTGATTTTAAGTTACTTTAGGAATGGAACTTTGACACACTCTACAAAAATGACTTACTTTTAGAATACAGTGTTTAAATTCTGCATCTGACAGCACTGTAATGATTCTGAGTCCTTCTGGGAATTAAGTCCTCTGAAGATATAAAAAACCCCTAAGATGGTTAACAGGTATCTTTGACCATTGATGTAGAGAAGCAAAAAGTGTCTTGGACAAACGTTTCACTTTTGCAATCCTAACATTAACTTAGTAACTAACATTACTCTAGTACATAAAACAATTCTTAATTATTTTATTTGTGGTTTAAAGATAATGTTTTAAATTTAATTTCTAGCACTCAGACTACTAGTTTAAAATGTACTAGGTTACCAATGAAATCACCACCTGACTATCTCTGAACATCAACTCAGTTTTCTTTTCAAAGAAAATGCTTAGAAAACTTCAAGGACAGATGTGCAGAGAAAGTCAATTGGCTGTATAAAGTCCTGTGTCAAAACTTTCAAATAATTATGAACTTATGTTCAATAACAAAGATATAAATTTATATAAAATTTTAGTTTCAAATTCAAATCTACCTTGAAAATAATAAGAACTATTCAAATATCAGTCTAATGAATTAGAGACATAAGTTTATCAGATAACTTCTAGAAAGGTTAATAAGCTACTTAACACACTATATTAATTTAGTAACATTTAAAAAAAAAAGGAAAAACATTTACATATTTAAGTGGCTTCTAAATGTTATTTACCAGACATATTTTTCACATCTGCCTTGCAATATTGACACATCTTGGAGTTTGTTCAAGACCAGAATGTAGAAAATGCAAATCTGGCCGTTGACAGCCTCAACATAATCACGTTATGTTGAGATCCTTATGAAGACTAAGGATAATTAGGTCAGCAGTTTTGAAATATTTTAAATCAGCTGGTTTGGGATATTTTTCTTGTAATAATTTGGGACCCCTTTCTACCTTATTAGATCTGCTTTGCCTATAGCTTCCTTGGCTTCTCTCACTTGTATGTATACTTCCATGTTTTATTCTCCCTCTACAGCCAAGCTACCCATGTTATTTCACCTACGTGCACCAGTCAAGCCATGGTATCGCTAGCACCAGAAAACTGTCTCAGGCTCTTGATAGTCTATTCCCTACCTCTAGACAGCAGCTTTTAAGAAGACTTTTCTGCACTGCACTTGTCCCAGTGCCCTGAAATTCATGGCAAATATAGAGCAGTCCCCCAAATCTCTTCAGCCTACCTCTCTAGTTGCTTCTCATGTGTTTCCATCAAATCACCTCTCCTTTCTGCAGCTTTGCATCCCATGATGTTGTTCCATGAGCTGTCCAAGGGAAATGCAGGCCTTTCCCAGAGGCTGGCAGAGCTACCCTGTCCCTTGGCTCCAGCTCACCACAGCGCACTGCAGAGATGGAGATCAGTCCCCCACCAGATTTCCAAATGATGTCGCATATACGAGGGCGAGACCCTGGAACCATAACCTTTGGCCCTATTCCCAAATGCTCAGAGGGCTTTTCATGTGGTTGTGTAAGAGGAGAGAGATTTTGGAGTGAGGAGAAGGGAGCGAAGTGAGAGAGGGAATTTTTTTTTTTTCTGGGCTTCCTTGCACAGCAAGTTTTTCTTGAGAAACAATGACCTGATTACAAAACCTTTTTATTTAGTGTAATACTATCAAGCTGCAGTTCTACTAGTAAGACAACTACTATGGAGATACTGACTGCTAATCAGACACTTTCACAGTTATATCTAGAAAAAATAAATCCTTAAGCCGTTGTATGGGAGAGACAGTTCTCAATTTGTAAGCGTGGTAAGGCTGTCTCACAGACGTACTTCAGAAGGATAAGGACAAAAAGAAGGAGCAAGAAACCATTGTGAGGCCATTTTAATGCAGCTGGGAATAAAGAACCTCCACAAGGTCTTGGCCCTGATTTTCGTCTTCATAGAGTGGGAATTTTGCCATTACTTACAACAAAAATGAGATCTGGCCCATTAAAATGCAGCAACTGATCGGTAACCTTAGCTGCAGAAGTTACTCAGCACTTGACAGGCATAGATTCATGAAAGCATGGCCTATGCTTAAAGAGTTGAGGTTTGGAAGGAACAGAAAATGAGGACTTGGGTACATGAACTCAGTAAGGACCAAGAAAATAGAGTGCTGAAGATCAAAGCTGAAGCACTCTAGCAGGCTTGGCAGGTGGGAATGATGACGAACATAGGATGCCTACTCACGGGACACTTGGATCAAGCCTAAGCTTGTTCCTCCCTTCCACAAACACTAAATTTTCTTCTAAGAAGTTTTTATGTTTAAAACCAAATGTTTTTAAAATAAAACTATGTCTATAAGTTTAAATTAGGGTAAAAAGTTTATTTACATAAAACTGCACTTTATGAAAAGTCCATGAAAAACAACCTGTGAAAATGAAACTCTTTGAAATTACTTCTTTTCAGAACTATTAGAGTAACTCCTTTAAAATCCCTATGATAATCTTTACTCAGTATTATTTTAGCAATAATACTTTGAAAATACTACACAAGTAGACAACATTAAACAAATGCATGACAGAACATTATATATATATATACCCCTGAATAATCTTGTTCTTTGGAAAGTAAATCAAGCCAAACAATGGTAAGTGCTATCAAATCAGAGGAGTTATGGAAGTAATTAGGAAAAATAGTCAAGGTTTATAAGTTGCTTTCTTTTACAGCTTATATGCAACTGCCTGATCTGCCAGGTGCCCCGATTAAGTAATATATGTGCCTTACTTCCAAATAGATTTTAAAAATCTGGCAAGCACTTTTGAATTGTAGAGGTAGTCCTTCTTTGTGGGCTATCTGCAAAGGTTTGGGGTTTGCCTACAGCTTTTGTGATTAGACTTCCGGTGTCTTGTTCTGAGTAATATTTTTGGCTCTTGCGTGGAAAAACCCCACAATGGTATATCTTGTATGTCTGTGTACAGTTTCTTTTTTGCTAGTGCCTTGTGAAAAATACAAGGGGTCCCACATTGCATAGCAGGAAACCTCTTCTGCAGCCTGCCTTGCCCGCAGCCCATGTCACAGGTGCCTGGAGTGTCGGTACCCGTGAGCTCTGCAGATTCCTGCCTGCAGCTTCCTGGTCATGGAGAGCACCTCCAGGCCTGGGATCAGGCAGGGGTGTGCTAATGCTGAGATTTTGGACCTTGATGATGTGCTCTGGCCTGACTTCAGGAGAGCTGTGAATGAGGCATGCTTATGGCAAGGGGTGCTGTCAGTTCATTCACATTCCAGGCAGAAATGTGAATGAACTTTGGGGGTGTTTAGAGACTGGAAGAGGATAACAGGAAACGCTGCTACTGATATCCTTCCCAACCCTTTAGGTAGTAGAAAGTAATGCAAATTAGGCAGTGCTACAGAGCACATCACAAGAACTTTGGGAGCACATCACAAGTGCTTTGGGAGGCACTGGCAACACCGGAGCTCCATCCACCTCTACTTCAAACTAGGCACACGTTTATAAAGTGCACATTTTGTGGAGTTCTTTATATTCAAAGGCTTATACTACCCTTTGAAGGAGATCAGTTCTGTGTTATGAATTAAGATCCTGAGGGATATTTTTCTAGTCCATTCTCCACTTTGAATCTAGTACAGAAACGTTCAAAAACAGCTATCTATCCAGCTAGTTCCTTTTTCCTCAAGCAGTCTTTATATCCATATAATTTAAAATAGGCAAGATACAACACTGCATATTGCATGGAAGAATCCTGAAATGAAATCCGATGGCTGAAGAACATTTTATCTTTAACTTCTAATAAGGTGAACCACAAAATAAGTACCACACGAGGAATTTGTAACGCATAGTGCCAAATGCTTTTTTCTTTGCTTATAAAATGTGCTGCCAGTAAATGTTTCATTAAACCTTCATTTGTATTAAACAAGAAATCCTAGAGACACAACAACTGTGAAAGATGAAGAGAGACTATGAAGACGACAGGCCTGGAAAACACATCTACAGAAGAAGGAATGGCATTATAACCAAAGATAAATACTGTTATCACACCACAGCCTTCCTATGAAACTCTTTCAGGAATACTACAGGAGCACGTTATTGAACTGAACTAGGTCTCAGGATCCTGGATTCAACTTCTAGCTCTGACTGTCAGGTACTCCTGGGGGAGGCACTTCCGCTTTCCAGTGTTAGTTGCTCTCTATCTACAGTAATAGTAATGATATCATCTCCTTTATTTTTATTAATCTTTCTATTTCATACTGTGCAAAGTAAAACTAAGAAAATTACAGAAGATAGAGCAGTGATAAAAGATCATTCGTCTCAGTCTTTTTTCTGAGTGAAGATCAAATACACTTAGGGAGTTTCTAATTACACAGCATTAAAGTCCTCCAGTGATAGGGACGACCTCCCCAGGAAAACAACTCTAGTATTTACTTATGCCAGCCATATGAAAACATTTCCTAGAGTCTAACAGGAATCTTCTCTAATCTAAGGTTATTATTACTGTTGTTTGGCACGACATCAGTGTGGAAAATAGGTTGTAGTTTTCACTCCTTGCAACAACCTTAAACAATACATCTTCCTCTGGCATGTTTTCTTTCTAGACACAAAAGTCTTTCTGGCAGTGTTTTCTGGATCTATGATAACTGACAGTGCTTTCCTCTGGAACCTCTGCAAGCACAAATCTCTGAAATATACCAAACTGGAACTCATCTGAGCTTTACAACACTGGCACATTTTCCATTACCCCATTTGGATCAGTAATGGAAAGATGGTAGAGCAGGATGGATCCTGTGAAGCTCTATTCAATACACTACCTTCTCATTTTAACAGAGTACTGCAGATAACAGAAACTCCCTGGATGCAGGTATCCTACGACGTTTGTAACTGCCCTAGGATTGGCCAGAACAAAACACTTCCCAGAAGCTTTTGTCTATAATGTTCCTGTTACATTTAATAACCAGATGAACGCTCTTCAATTTACTAATGCACATCCAGAATCAGAGACTGGCTTTAGTTGGAAGGGACCTTAAAGATCATCTAGTTCCAACCTCTCCACCATGGGCAGGGACACCTTCCACTAGACCAGGTTGATCAAAGCCTCATCCAGCCTTGCCTTGAACACTTCCAGGGATTAGGCACCCACAGCTTCTCTGAGCAACTGGTTCCACTATCTCACCACCCTCATAGTAAAGAACTTAGTCCTAATGTCTAATGATTACTTATTATTCTCCATGTCTGCAGCGCGTGCCATTTTGCTCTGTGCTTTGGCTCTTCTGATTTCTGGTGCTTATGTTGCTGCTTTACACTTACCTTCAGTAATCTGATGGAAGTAATTCCTAGCTGCCAGTTTATTTCAACTTGCTAACAAGCTTACAATGTAGTCCCACATATTTTTTACTACACTTTCTTACACTTCGGGGCGGGGCGGGGGAATACAGAAAAGCAAGCGAAATGAAAAGATGAAGGGAAAGAAAGCACAAGTCAAAAAAAGATATGACTCCACTTTATGGAGAAAGGAAATGAGAAAAGGAATATTTAACTAGGAAAGAGACAAGAATGACAACTCAGACACCACCATGTATGCCCTTTGCACACATCCCCAAACTAATTTTACACTTGAATTCATTTATTTAATTACAGTACTTACATATGAGTTACTTTACTTAAACTGTTGAAGGAATGGGCCTCCAGACTCTGAAGTGTTTCATCTATAGAGATGTAGCTAAACACCAGCAAACAGAAAAAGAAACAAGTCTCAGACCTTGGCAAGCCATGACTAGTGCCCACCATGGCACTTTTATTTTTACTCTCATTCTTTTTCTCATCCAACTGCCATGACACAGCCAGACACACAGAACTTTTAACAGGATTTTGATTTTGACTGATGTCTTAGATGTACATTATACTGCAGAATACAGGTAATCCCCCCCACAACAGTGGTATTAAGTACTAAAAGCAAACGTGCATATTTCACATTTTAGAGTCATATTTCTTCCCTTTTCCCTAAGGGAATCCCCTTTTCTCTAAGGGGATCTAGCCTTCAAGTAAATTTGCTTATTTCTCTATATTAAAGAATTGGGGCATCACTGCAACAACTGCCATAATTTCTCTAGAGAGAAACGGATCATCAGGGAAACCAGTGCTTTGATATTGCTGAGGGAAAAAAAGTGTGTTTACCACTATTTGGGTTAAATTAACTGATTGTGTCTTTCAAATTATCTCATTTTTAATATTTGTCAATGTTGAAAGAGCATTTGTTAAATTTCTGTATTTTATATTTTATAACATATTTCTAATTTACAGATATTTTAAAATAATTTGAAAGTCTTGAATATTCTTTATATTTATTATTATTAAAATACTTAAGTACTATATTTTGATTCTCTATTGAAGTTACTGACTCAGTTTTTAATATTTCACATGGTTACATATACTCTAAGCAACATGATTATTATTTTAAATGCACGAAATTAAATTGACTAGAAGAGACTTAGACATCAATTTGAGATGTCAAAATCAAATAAAATGTAATAATAAAGAGACAGTATCATATGTCTTTTGTCCTTTTTAATCAATAGACCTGCAAAATCCTAGAATCATACTTAAAAAATATCCAAATGGCATTTTACACAAATTGAGTTGTGTTCCTTAAACAAAACAGAGAAGCTGTTAACATTCTTCTTATTTTCTCCAATGACAGTAATAAGACTAATAATTATAAATAGCTAATTTAAATATCATCATTTAACCCAGGAGGGCTTTTTAATACAATCAATTATGGATCAGATTTTTTTATTTTTTTGTGGCAATGTTAAAGAAGATATCTCTTTATTTCTTTCAGTGGATATTAACAAATATTTTAAATGTTTTAGAAGATTGAAAAGAATACTTTGTGATGAGCACATGCTCTAGCAACCAGCAGATGACTGGTTCTAGCAACCAGCAGATGACATAAATTCCAAGGGAATTTATGTCCTCTCCAGACTGGATCTAAAAGCGTATTATCTGAACGAATTTTAACTCTTCTTACATGAGATTTACTTTTCATTGGTCACTTTGGAGATATATTCAACAATGTTTGAAAATATGTCAGAAAAGTAACTAGTAGAGACTATATGACCAAAATATTCTCTTTCTACAGTAATATTGCTTTTACAAAGCTATTTGCCTCTTCCAAAAGCAAAATAATAAAAGGGGAATGCAATAAAGAAAGTATTTCCAGTCTGCACCTCTGTGATTCAGTATTGCAGAATTAGATGTTTATGAGACATGATTTAATTTTGCTTTCCTGTAGGCAATAAATGTTTGTTGCTCAGAGAACTGGAGTTTCAGTCTCATACGAATTAATTATTCCATTTTAACAGAGCTACATGTTAACATACCAAAAAGATAGGTTATATGAATGCTACATTAAAAATCCAGTTGTTTTATGCAGCAAACAGCTATATATAAATCAGCTTAACAGAAAATGAAATTAAAAATGCATAATGAAAAAACATTTCATCCTTATACTGGGGCTAGGAATTTCAGAGTACTTTTTGTGTGCTCTGTAATCAAAATGGATCACCTTACAGCAGGCATGCAAGTGCTTTTCTATCACCTGTGAGAAGGGGCAGAAGAGCAGTAATGGACATTTCTTCTTGTTTTCCTCACCCCTATGGCCACCACATCTCTTCCCACCATGCCGTGTGTCACATTTTTACTGTACTGCCTCGGTTGGACCGGGTTCATTTGCAGTTTTGTATCTTTCAGCTCTGGGCTGAAAGTGGGAAGGAAACTGCTTATTTTCTTTGCCTGTTGACCTCCACTCTTTTGCTTCATAAGCAGATGTATCTGTGTACATTAAATAAACCACATCATCACTGATGACAGGGAAATGAGTAGTTTTATTCGCTTTAGTGTCATCTAGATAAACACCCCAAAACCACACAAACACATTCAAAATCTCCTCTGAGACAGGAATGTCAAGCAAAAACATGTATGCATAAACATTTGCTTCGAAGTGTTGAGCCCTGGCTAATGAACACAAAATACAGCACATTAAATATAAGAAATAAAATTCTTAACAATCAGAACTGGAAAGAGTTGTATCAGAAGAAGAGGGAAAGTGTTTTTAAATCCCCTTTTTGAAAGGGAGTTGGTTTAGGACCTCCTTTCCCTAGCAGCTGTGTTTAATTTGCAGGATTTCAAAATGCCTTCAAAACCCATCACAAACACAGCTCTAGCTTAAACACCAAATGCGCAGCTGCAGAGAAAGTCTGCTTGCAGATAACATTTCAGTAACCTGTTTAGAAAGACCCTGAGAACACAGGATTTAAAGCAGATCAGCACCTGGTGGTTTCCATAAGGTCCTCTGCCTGCCCTTACTTTCTTTCTTCTCTCTCTCCAGCCTCAGCACCCCCTGAGCTGCCAGCACCACTGGCTGCCCCTGTTCCCCTCTGCTGTTGATGACGTGTGGGGTGCCTCACAGAGGACAGCCAGAACAGCCAAGGCAAGCGGAGCCCACAGCTAGGGCTGTCCTGCATGGGCTGGCACTGGGGAGCAGGGCAGGTGTGGGCTAGGTGTGGGGGGACTGTGTGCTGGCACTGGCTGTAGGACAGCAGCGTGCTTGGGGGCATGAAAAGGCACTGCGTGGCACAGAGGAAAAGAGTGCCCAGGGGAGAGGTTGTGCTCTGCACGGGGCTGCTGCCAGAGGGCTCTGTGCAGTGCAAGGATGCAACTTTGCGAGGAGAAGCCATGGGGAAAACTGCTCATGGAGCTACGCTTCAGATGTCTGCGAGGTACTTGTGCAGGTGACCCCCAAAGCATCGTCCTGAGCACAGGAAAAAGGTTTCTTACCCTCGATCATGAAAATACTGAATATTCAACCTCCTTTAAGTCAGCAGAAAATAGCCGGTGAGGTCCTTCTATCAAGTCTTAATGTATTTGCAACTTTAAGAATGTAAACCAGAAATTTCTCTTACATCTAGATGACTTATAAAATGCTTTTTCCAGTGCACTAACACATTTCTGACAGGAATTAACTTTGCACTTGAGCATCTCATTGAAATGCTTTTTATTTCATTCCTGTGGCAAAGCAGCACAGGGAAACAATCTCTACTTCAAGTTATAAGAGTACAAAGATATGCATTAATTTAAGAGAAATAGTAACTCTAAAATTTTTGTTTAAACAAGGCTCATAAAGAGGACAACTAAATTTCGATTCGGTACACAGGAAACAGGGTTTATTTGTGGAAATTATATAGTGGAAACCATATAGCAAAATGAAGTGCTATATTTGGAAGGGTAAACACAGTTTCTGTCACCCTGTTGAAACTTCAGAACATTTTCTAGATGAGTTTACAAAGGAAGGAATGATCTGGAAATTGTCATTGATGATGGAAATTATGGGCTGAGAGAGGCAAATGAGACACGATACATTAGAGCCCAAGACACACACACAAGAGCTGTAGTTAAAATACAGGTACTGGTTCCTTAACACAAAGTTTATATCAAGAAAGTGGGAGTTCATGATTTTTAGAATTCGTAGTGCTATCAGAAAAATCCAGAACGACATGGACATTAAATTTAAACTGCTGTTTATTCTTCATAGGCTTTTTAAAAATTAACAAGAGAAAGAGAAACGTAGTAACCCAGAAGCCATTGCACAGAAGGAGAGAGTGTGATGCTACCATAGTAAGTCATGATTTTGGGAAGGTTACTGCTATAATCAATTGTATCTATGCTATTTTCCTCCACATAAATGTGGAGTAGGGGGAAAGTAAAACTCCATATTCAGATATTCTCTTTAAAGAACAACTTGGGGAAGATACTGACAATATTTGATTTTCAATAAAAGAGCTAAAAAAATAATATCAGAAACAGAACTTACATCCTAGAGATGTTGGGGAGATTGGAAAAAGCATCACCTGGAATTGTTCTTAGGCGAGTCTCCATAAACCTCCTACAGAAATAGAAGTTTGGCAGTTAATATCCCTTGGTAAGTACAATTTAACATTAAAAAGTCCTACATGACTCCAGCTCTGCTCCAATATTTCTATTCTTCCCTTTCCCCAATGTTTCCATCTTTGCATCATTTCTCTTCCTGTTTCATTATGTGGCTTGGTTTGCTTGGTGTGCCCCCTCAATTTAAATTACAACCTTTTGCATCATCTCTCCTAGGAACTCAGCATTCGGTGGTAATGATGGACCTTCCAAAACTCTGGAGCATGGCCAGCAAACATATTAGCCCATTGAAGTAAATGAAGTATTAAAAGTATGGCATTCTTTTAATAATTTCAGGCTCCACAAAGATATTCTACCCTGTCACGTCCTGAGTTTTCAGGACGAGAGCTCAGGTTCACTGATTCCCAGGCTAGGACTGAGGCGAGTCACACCAAGGATCCTAAGGCCAGTTTTATTTATCAGCTAACAAAGAACTAACAAGGATGTGCTTCAGTCGTCCACTTAGCGCAATCAACACGCCTCACAACAAAGAGCCATCAGCGAGCAAAATAGATAGCCTTTTGATAAGACTAGAAAGAGAGAGAAAGAAAGCGAGAGGAAAAGAAAAGATCACCACCCTTGGATCCAGCACATGCAGCCACCTTCTTGTGGTGGGCGACAAGAACCTGACTGCCCGGGATTCTCGCCCTTTTTACAGTCAAGTTGCTGCCACATCGTGTTGTTTGAACTGATCTAAGGGATGGTGGGGGCTTCCGAGGGGGTCACCCTTCCCTCTCCCGGCCTGACTTTTTCACTCTTGCAGCCACAGCCCCGATCCCTGCCTGCCCCCACCCCTCCACCGGTGCTGGGGCTGGGCAGGAGCTCAGGAAGGGGCTGGGTCACCCCGCACCAACACGGACCGGAGCTGGGCACGGGCTGTGGCCAGTTTAGGTTCCAGACTGTTTGAGACATTCATTTAGCAGTCTCTCATACAACCCTCATTTGGAGCAAGACATTCTACCTCCACAGAATTCTTCATATACTTTGTAATAAACACAACGTTCTTTCTCCCTAAACCTCCGATTGGGGATGGCATGTACAGTGTTATTTTTTACCTTAAGCCCAGATAAAGACACACTTCAGGAGAGAATAGTTATATGTCTTACCCATCTGCAGGAAGTTTCAGAAAAACGGGCAATATTTGAGATACTTATCAGCAGGTTCTTAACAGAATGAATCTCTAGCAGAATGACTCCTCCAAAGAAGGAGGAAATGCTCTGGAAAATTAGCCTATAATGGCTATTAAATTTACAGTTACAGCCTGTCACTGCTGAGTGAGGTAATCTTTGGGTTTCCAGTACCTCTGGGAATACAATTCCATAATTTACAGTCAATGAATAGTCTGAAGAATAATCAAGAACAAATGATAAACTTTTCCCATAGCTGCTGTTCAAGAATAGTTCAGTAGAAAAGAATTAAACAAATTAGGAGGGTTTCCTAATTCTGTTTCATAATGTGAAGTATTTGATTATAATAATTATATTTGATTTACATAGACAAAAATATTACCATTTTAAGATCTATCAAGCTTCTGGAACTTGCAAATAAGAAACAAAATTATCCATAGAAATTCTTAAATTTTCCATCTTGAGTAAAAAAAAAAACAAACAAAAACTAGCTGGAAGGTAGCTTTGCAAAAATGGATCTGGGGGGTCTTGGTGGACACTAAGTTAAACATGAGCAACATGCCCTTGCTTCAGAGAAGGCTAGTGGTATCTTGGGCTGCATTAGGAGGAGAGTCCCAAGGCTTCTCCTTGAGACTGTTAGAATTCAGAAGAAAACATTAGTTTAAGTTCACTTTTAACTTCTCTTACATCCTTTGTCTTCTGTTCACCTATAAAATGCTAACTTACATGATAGTTACTTCTCATCACCTATCATTACAGAAACTAGCACTTAGCCTATCACATACACATAATTCCACATTCCAGAAAAACAGGAATTTAAACACTTAAGTGTTTAAACACTTTAAGTCACTTCTCGACCTCCTGCTCAGATAGTCATCCCTCTCCGTTCTTTTCAGATAATGAATGGAGTCAGACCCATCATTCACGAGCTACATGTGGGCTAAGTGAGCTTCCATGAACCTTCCACTGACACAACGGAAATTAAAACGTCTCATCAGAAAGGCCTGGAAAATCTGTAAAATATTTATGAATCAATTATATCAAAGTTGCCGTATTATGTAATGACCCTGCATTTATAAATTTCTAGACAAGGCTTCTAATATCTCAAGAATAGATACAATGAAGAAATGTAGCCTTAAAGGCTATATTTCGAATGAATAGCTAGTAAATGTATTATATGGGCTGGAAGTGGGAGTTTCATATTTCTCCCTATGTAGCTGCTATAGTTAAAGATATCCCAACATTCTGCAAATATGACAGAAAAAACATGCGGTACAAGATGTGTTTATAAATGGACCCAAAAGACAGTGAAGTATAAATAGGAAGAAATCTTAGGCAGAAGAGAAGAAAAAGCGCATTTCATGACAAAAACTTAGTTGTGAGGTGAAACAGTATCAGAGATTGTCAGCAAAGCTAAAAGACTCCAAGGTCATGTAACACATAAACAACATGCTAAGTAATAGCATGTAGCATATACTGACAAAGCAGTTGGTGTTTCTTAGCTGCCCTTCTTCAACTATTTGCTGTCTTAACAGATTGCTGCTTGAATTCAAAGAGTCAGTGGTTACGTATCACAGAATCACAGAACGTAGACCATAAAATGGAGCTAAGGCAACAGGCCTGGGGCAGCCAGGGCCAATATTTTAAGACAGACTTTGTGTAGGACCACCTGCAAAGCTCCAGTTCTCTGCAAGTTTTAAAAACCTGTGGGCTGATACATTGCTGTCACCTCCTAAAACAGTTTAAAAGGTAGCAGAACAACAACAAGAGAAAAAGCAGTATTTCACGTCCTGTTTGTTAACTGTGAGTGTGTGGATAATTATTGGTTGGGGATCACCAGGCACCAGTGGTGTGTACAAGGCTGGGGGATGGACAGTAAGTCTTGGGTGTAGGAAGAAGAGAGGCTGAAAAAATTCTGAGGCAGAACAGTATAGGATGGATCAAAGCTGAGAGTAATTTATATACACTAGTTTTAGTTTAGCCCAGTCATAAGTGCACATAAAGATCACAAGCTTACCAACTGTATTAATACGCCCTTAAGGCTGGGAAAAGAGCAAGTTTTGGAATTTAAAGCCCAGAGAAAATAACAAGAAAGGTAAGACAGGTCAGGGCTTCTAGCCAGCCAACCATAATATACAGTGTGAACATAGGATGAATAATTGAGAATTCATTATATTAATAGACTGTGATTCTTCCTGTCTTGCATGCATTAGAAGTTTTCCTTAAACCTGCATATTTCAATTTGAAATTTAGTTAGTCCAGTATCCAACCAGCCACAGTATATTCATGAAGAAAAATTGCTCCTGTGCTAATCTGCATTCTACCATTTATTTCTATCTTTATCTTCTCATTCAGGCTTAAAAGCCTCAATAAATCCAGAAAAAATCTTCAGTTTATTCAGTAAAATATTTCAAAAGAAGAACCTGCAGTCTGAGGTAATTTTTATTAGAAACACGCCATAAATATTTACAAAGATACAAAAGCATATAAATCAAATTTTTGCTAAATGAGTTGTTTAAAAAATGGCAAGAGAATTTTTCAGAAAAACATTTTAAGTTTTATAGTATGGCATTTAGTTTGCATTTCTTAGTTTCATAGGTTTGAGAGCCAGTGTGAAGTTCTAAAATTTTCTTCTTGCTTTGATATTTACATCAAAAGTTTAGGTTGTATGTTCCTGAAATACTCTATGTTGCATATATCAGGAAAATGAAACTTGAACAACTGATAAGAAACATATTAGACTACTTGTGCATAACTTTGCATTTTCGCTTTTCTCTGCCCCAAACATCTGTCAACCTGGAATATAAAGAGTTTATTGGTCAAAAATCAAGAACTATGAATATTCAGCTAAAAACTGAAATAACTCCACTTTGACTCCCTGCTGATCTTCCCAAACAATCTTTAGCAAAGACTCTGTTTCTCAAGATTAGCCTAGTTATTTTCATTGAAATAAAAATGGGATTTTAAAAAAAGTATAAGACTACATTGACTCATAATATTTTATATGTGCATAGAAACAACCCTGGTTTTGACTAACTTTGAAATACAGGTATACGTAAGTGGAGATTGCAAAGTATTCAAACGTAAACACATCTGCTTTGTTTTAATAACTGTACAATATTGATGCATAGAGCACTACCCAAGTATTTAATAGATAATAATGTCATCTCTCCCTTATGCACCGTATTTCTAGTACTGCTAAGCACCATTTCATTATTTGTGCATTTTTTCTTATCTTAGAATGCACTTAAAAAGATCTATAAATAGCAATCCATTAAACTATGTAATTTACAGCTGGCTTAAAACAAGGTATGCTTGTTTGGGCTGGAATAGAGTTAATTTTTTCATAGCAGTTGGTATGGCGCTATGTTTTGGATTTGTAAATAAAACTAGAGTTGATAACACAGAGATATTTTTGCTGTTGCTGAGAAGGGCTTACACAGTGTCAAGGCCTTTGCTGCTCCTCAGCCCACCCCAGAAGTTGGGAGGGGACACAGCCAGGACAGCTGCCCCCAACTGACCAAAGGGATGTCCCAGACCACATGATGCCAAGCTCAGCATATAAAGCTGGGGAAGAAGAATGAATAGGGGGACATTTGGAGTGATGGCATTTGTCTTTCCAAGTCGTCGTTACGCATGATGGAGCCCTGTTTCCCAGGGATGGCTGAACACCTGCCTGCCCATAAGTTTTCTCACTTTGACTCTTCTAATTTTTTCCCCACCCCACTGTGGGGGCAGTGAGCAAGCAGCTGTGTGGGGCTGAGCTGCCAGCTGGGCCTAAACTATGACACAAGGTAAAAGTAATAATAATAGAAATAAAAAACAACTTCTC